GGTGGGAGCAATGGTGGAGTAACTGGCCTCGCCGACTCCAACCAGGCCTCGCGTGAACAGCAGGGCCCAGAAATGCTGCAGGAAGACAAAACAGAGAGGAGGCATGCCTGATACTCATATTCAGACTGTCTAGCAGTTTGAAACAGTGTGCAGAGGATGGAAAAATTCATCAAATAATGTTTTCATGTCACTGTGATCCAGGGTGAAATGGTTAGAGATGCACCGATTGCATACACAAACATTTTGTAACTTTTCTTTAATGCCAAATTGTAATGAAAATAAAACACTGGATTAAAGTTTTACATTTATCGATAGCACCCCTGAATGGTAGAGGAAAATGTGTTCACAACAAGAAAAGCAACATGTGACTAACGTCTTTTGGTGTGAAGGAACCGGCAAGTGTCACCAAGGACCAGAATCCAATACCAAAACTCATGATGTATTTCCTGTTGAACCGGTCACCCAGGTACCCGAAGATCGGAGCCAGAAACATGTAGCTGCAAATAAAAACTGACACAAGTATGCAAATATTTTTAGACATGAAACCACACTGACATAAAATCATGTGACTGAAATGATCACAACAACAATCTTCACATGACATTAGATAAACATCAGCAATGTTTTGAAATTTAGAAGGGGGGGGATGTTATGACTAGAACTGGCGCAACAGTGAGGTGCACTGCTCCAGTATTTCTCCATCACCTTCACTCTGTATTTTGTATGACTGTAGTGTAAGGAAGATGAGGTAAGATATCCATTAGGTTTGATAATTAAAGCTGTAGAAGTTGAATTTGGCTTAAACGATTCAAGAGTAGAAGTCCACAATGGGTTAATACTTGAAAACGAAGAAATGTAGAGTCAGATCTCAGAAGCACTGGGTTTACGGTTCTAGTGCAATTAGGAACAGTGTTTATGTAGTTGCTGTGGAGGATTGTCTGGATTATGTGAAGTGGTGCTGTTTTGATTTGTTAAAGAAAAGAAGAAAAGAGCCTAGAGTAACATAGCATTTGGTTTTGTGATTAACCCATTAGTTGATCAGTTTGGTATTCTTACCTGTTTGGAGCAAGCCAGATTTTTCATCATCAATCCCAAAATAATGCTCTATGTCAGGAAGAACACCTAGTGGGAGTCAACAGGATTGCACCTATTTTACATTCAGTACAGCAAAATATGCAGAAAATCATCAAGTGACTACAGTGATTAGTGTGAAAACAATTAGCTGATTAATCAATTTAAAACATTTTTAATAGTCAAGAAGTCACATCTATCATTCTCTGGCTGAGGCTTCTAGAATATGCTGAGCTGCTGTTACACCAAAGTAAACTGAATATCTGTGGGACTGTCAGACGTGGATGTAATGAATTTAAAAAACTGACTTTTTATTGACAAATAATCAGCTAATTGAAAAAATAAACTGCTGCCTTAAACATTGAAAATGTTAATCAGCTGCAGCCTAACATTAAAACAACTAGAGCTCAAAAGTTCTTGACCACAAACAATGCTCTTATATCTGGGCCAGTGCATTTACACACATTCACAGTTTACACATTACAATATATATGCTAATGCCTTTTGTTAATGGGTTCACAATTTTGGAATAACTTTGTAATAGTTTCCGATAAGTGTCCTGGAAAGCTATATGTGATTTGATGCTAATTATTTTAACTGCTAGTGGCCGCTGCAGTCCCCCTGCCACAGTGAACCTGTCCATGTAGTTGAGCAGGTTTATGTAGCAGAGGATGAAGACGGTCAGCAGCGCTCGGACTTTGGACACCCCACTGGCCGGCTCCTCCTCTGGCTGCTGCCCCGCCGCCCCGCCCTGCTCCTCCGGACCCTCCACCTCGCTGTCAGAGAAGAATGGCGCCGAGTCAGATGTTTGCTCGCCCAGAGACATGGCTGCTGCTGAGGAGAGGCGTCAAGACAATTCTGTTATCATCATCATTTGTTCAACAGTCTCTGAAAACAAATACATACATTTACAAAGCAGCAAAAGAAAGAGTTGAAACAACTGGTTGAATAGTTTGACAAAGTAACAGACTGAAAAAAAATCTAATTGATTGCCTTTACTGTTGACTGTGAGAGGTAAAGATTTGATTTGATTTGATTTGATTCTTTCAAGCATGTAAAGATAGTCGATATATCAACACACATAATTTTACACATATCCACAAATGCTAATCCATTATTAATTTGCTTATACCTAGTACATGCTTGAACGGAGTAGGAAGAAGTCAGACTTATCCAGTCCTACCCCATGACATCATCTTACCATCATTGGTTTGCAAGCAGTATCTCTACATAAATAATTTTGTTCTACACCACGCAAGTAATATACTAAAAAATTATTACAGATTGTTAACATTCTTACATAATTACATTCTTAGATAATTATCTTCTACACCACACAAGTAATATACTAAAGAATTATTACA